TAGGTGTAGTCTATAGAGTGCTGCTTTGTAAGGTTAATACAAGTTTGGACCTCCTGATAAGGGAATGAGATTTTATGTTGGACTAGTCAATAGTATGTGCAGGAGTATTTGCTCCTGTGTGGTCTGTGTTGTTTGTGTTCCCTCTTTGCAGGACAAAGAGGCCCTAAAGGATGAAGAGCCCAAGGTGAACGCAGGAGATGTCGTGAATGTGAAAGTGCCTTGGAGGAGGAGAGAGCCCGCCTTTACGAAGGAGGCCCGACCATGGTGAAAGCCCCTCAGGACAGAGATGGCTTGGAGCTGATCCTGAGTCGATAAGGAGACGATGTGATCCAAGGGAGTCCTTGGATGAGGAGGGAGTGCAAGTGAAGCTGATGCTCACCTTGATGACAGTACTGGTTATGACCCAGTTGTGTTCTCGTCTATCTGACCCTCATGAGGAGGGAGTCAGAGGTACTGAGGTCAGTCATGTAGATCGAGAGAGAGAGAGACATTGCAGCCGAATTTGAGGATGGAAGAAAGCAAGCGGTGACAGAGTTAAACGGCAGGGAACTGAACTGATTAAAGGACAATGGACTTGGACGTTATATTTTACACATTCATGCTGTACACAATTCTGCATTGTAAAACCCTATCCCGGACTAATATCCAAGGTTCTGGATATCTGCCGCTCTACAGTATGGCTTTTATATAGTCAGAAACAACACAAAACATACACAATTCATGTATGGCAGTAAGTTATCTTTGTAGTTAGTATCTTGTCATTTATATATTCACTACTTAATTGGCACTGAGTATTTTCATATTCTCAGCTCATCTCTTAGTAGAAGATTTTTGGCTAGAGCTTTTATATAAGTAGTTTAGTTACATTACAAATATCTTGTGTTACGGTTATGTTATATCTTGAATTCAGTTTCAGGATTTACACTACGTCTGGTTCCTACAATCAGGCTCGCTACAGGCCTCGTTGGTGACCGCCCAAAAAAAAAGAAGATGGTTAAACCCCAGCATTCGTGATCATTGGGGTTTTTACATCTCAAAAGGAAAGGATGGGGGTCATCCAGAAATTTTGCCCTTCAGGGGTTTTGTCTGGATTTGGAGTGAACAAAATTGTAGCAGAATGGAAGCTGTTTGTAACAGTACAGACGTGTGTGTGTAATTGAAACTGTGGTGTTATGTGG